TTCGGTCTTCTTAGGCGCATGACATGAGAAGAAACTGATTTCTGCACTTTATCCTCTTCCCTAAGGAAAAAGCTATTCCTGTTGACCTTTTCCCCCCTAACGTCACCTCTTCCTTACGGAAGAGGGCTGAGGTGGTGGCTAAGCATCCATACAGTAGATAGTAAATCACCTACGAGCTCCCCACTCACAACGGAGTCCAACAAGAAAACAGCCCATTAAGGAAACAGGGTTGACACGGAGATATAGCAGGGGGATGACAGCGCTGCCCCGCCGTGTCTCACTCTGGAGTTCAGTACAAGACCTAGTCCGTGCCGATTGATCGGAAGTGGGTTAGCTCCTCCCGACTGCCCGTCTAGAAGAGTCCGAGGCCAAAGTAGGTGTTGAAGCCTACAAGGAATGTAGCTCGAAATACGTAAACAACGTATCCCTAGGTGCAAAGCAGGAAGTATCACACGGAGAGAAGTTGGGAAATAAACAGACGCCTCATCCACCAGGACACACATTCCCTCCGACTCGGATCGCCATGTACGGAAAACACTTGGGTGGGCGTTCAGCATACAATAGCAAGTTACCCACGTAGGTAATATTAATTGTAATGAACGTGCGAGTAGGGCATCAATAAGCAAGATCAACAATTTCCAGCACTTACAAGTTGAGAATTGCAAACACCTCAGATTGGTGTCGGGTAAAGTTAAATATGAGATTTTAAAATCGTTACAGAATATTTATGGATATGCAGTATTTTTTGTCGTACTTTTTTTACTGCACTGTCTTCTGGGCGATGTAATCGCACGAGTTCAGCTAGTGTTTTGTCTGTTAAAGATAATTTTTGACAGACCTACAATTTTAGATAATCAGCCAGAATATATTTAAGATCAATCTAAGAGACATTAGATTTAAATGTATCTAAAAAACACTATTTAAAATACTGCCTTGTATTTCTTTTAATAAATTATATTGCTCCTAATTTGTCATAAAACGCTGCAAATCGACTTCACTCTTCAATTTGTTTATACAATTATACATTTATTTATGAAGTTCAGGTTATACAATAATTTTCCAACACTTACCAATGATTTTAAGAAAATTTTGAAAAAAATGTGTTTTAATATGGCGGCCATTTCGTGACATCTTATCAGTATGGATTGCATTTATTTATAAAAATTTAGCACGGGGGTTCTGATAACGTACCGCCATACCTGTACCTTCGATACACGGCGTAGTGGTAAATTGGACATCCTGGAACCAGGTAGGCGGCTACTGAGACGCAAAACTGTATGGCGTGATCGTAATCGGCAAAGAAAAAGAATTTTCTACCATTAGACCAAAAAATTAGCTTTTCGCTCGCAATTCAAGACGGCATAAAAATGACATTGTGAATTTGATACGGCGGACTGTTTGAGACGCCATATCGGTATGGGTACAACTCCTCCCTTTGGCTATTGAAGGAACAATATGCAACAAGAATTAGTATTCACCATAGTTTTTTCGATATATTAAACATTGCGCAGCACAACGTCGACACATACAGGCTCTCATACTTGCGTTTTTCTATTCTTCTTAACATTGGCTAACTTCTCAAAAAGTTTTAGCTTTGAGCTTATCATACTTTTTTTCTTGCTCCCGACCTATTATGTCGCTAATTTTACCGCCGCGTATTGAGGTCTGTGCAGAGGAACGTGAACTTTTCGTGATATCTGGGGTATAATCACTAATTACATGTATTTATTGTCAATCTTCAATAACCTTTGATCAATGTAGTCAATTTGTTCGATATTCTGTAAAAATTTTATAGAAGCACTCCAACATCGGCTTTGGCCCTTTGGAGTGCCACGGTATACTAGTACATGATTATTTATTCTACATGTACCTTTACCCTTTTTCTTAGTTTCAGAGATACAACAGATCTTCTTTTCTTCCATATGTATTATTTCTTGTTCCTTATTCTGCCACGATTTAATGTTCCACGTTCCAAGTCGTAAAATCTCCTTTTCTTCTATCCATTAGTCATTTTTCGTTCCCGTATCGTCAACTTGTTTGGTCCAAATCTGAGCTCAAATACTCTAACAAGAAATTTAAAGAAAAAATTTGCAGCCATTTTTGAGAAAATTTGGAAAATGCCCCAGGGAATTCGTATGAGGTAATGACTGTTTTTCAAAACCGCAGATCAACTCAAGGCTGATTGACAGAGGTTTCGTCAATTTGAGAAAAAAAACTACGCCGGTTTAGGCGCTTAGTGTTGTTACCACACACCAATCAGATGGAGGAACAGACTAGGGATGTTTTAAAACAAAAATTCCGCCTATCAGGGGTTCCCAAAACGTGTATTTCCGTTGAAATCTCGAAAACGCAACGCAGAATTACATAACTTTCCCTATACTAAGTATATTTCTCCGTATATACGTACGTATACGGAAAAGTAAAAATATAGATAAAAGGGAAAATAAGCATTAATGCGAAAAAGTAATCCACCTGTATTTTGTTTCATTTAAGCCTCCACATTTTATAAATTTTCTTTGTATTTTTGATTCTTTGTACTAAAAAATACATCCATTGATTATTTTAAAGAATGAGCGGATCAAATGCCCATGAGCCAGTACAATACCTATATCTGAAAAGGGATAAGAGAATTCACTGAAATACCCACAATTTATATCAAATTTAATGATTTTACAATTCTAATAAAATATATAATTAATTCAAATTATGTGTATTACCATTCTCATTTCTTTCCTTTCCAAAATGTGTTCATTAAAAGTCTAAAACTTACAAATTCAGCAAAAACAATAATAATGAATATGGATACAATTGATTCTGCCCAGCTTTATTAACATAATAGAACTCGTATATCAAAATTTATTCCTTTCAATGTTTCATAATTTTTCTACTCCCACTGTATAATTTTGTCATTTGATGGCTGCAACCCGTTGCATAATTATACTCATCATGATACACGTTCTTGACCAATCACTGAGACGTTTACACACCAAGTATTGATAATAATTGCGAATCGTTCTAGTCATTTTGTGTTATATGTCGCTGTCGTGTGGTTGGTCTTCAAAAAACGACCAATTCTGTACTTTAAAATATCTAGTGAATCAGAGGTGAAATTGACACCTCCAGAAATTAGAGAAAAAGAGAAATTGGCGTCGGAATTATTGTCACAACTTTTGTACTATCTCGCAGACAGATTGGTAATCCAAAGCCACCTGCAGCAGGTATGTTAGGGAGCTGTCTTCTAGGTGGCCATGGCTGCATCCGGCATGTCAAATGCCACGAAACGATTCAATATAAAAGTTTAACTTATAAAAATTACCATAAGCCGTAGAAAAGTTCCGTATGAAACTCGATGTAATGGGTATTAATACTCTCATGTGAAGTTTACGATACTCGGTCGTATCGTACTTTCACTCATGTATTAATACCCATTATTACACCATCGTTTCATAATGTACTATAACACTCTTCATTCGCTTTCATATCAAAGCGATATTGTTTTTCTTTTCACAGCGGAAGCTGTTAAGTAGATCACTTTAAAAGGTCGGTAGAAAAAAAAAACAAGAAGGTAAAGGCTCCAGTAGTGCTCACTTCAAGCACAAATAAAAAAAAGAATTAAAGGTTTCCTTCTTGCTTCACACATCGAGAAGTGGCCCTTATGCCCGTTTCTTTATCAAATTTCTATTATTGCGTTTTTTACTCTCAACAAGTATAAACATTTTCAAAGAAAATTAAGTTAGATGAATTTAGATCTTGAATTATTAGCTGATGATTTCGATCCTTAGAATGTATGCTTCTGGATAGAACTCATTCATGGATAGCATTATTTTTAATCTTCAAAAAGTAGCAAGTAACTAGAGAAGAAGGTGTTAAGGGAATGGTCCACACTGCAAATGACAGGGCATATGCAACTGAGGGCTAACGATTTTACTACATTGAAGACAGGTATCTAACCATTACCCTACTTCTTGTAACTATCTAGTGACCATTTCTGGAATAAAAATAGGTGTTTGGAAATAAATTAATAAAAATAATAGCAATTGAAAATTAGTCATATTTACAAAAAGAATTTATTCAGAAACAGGTACCGATATGATTCATTGAATTCAACATTACGAATTAGTACTACAGCCCACAAATTTTAAGAAAATTACGAAAAGATTTAAAACTAACGAAACTAGTTTCACCTTACCTTCGGAAACGGAATGCTGTAATCACCGTAATTCTAGTCCAGTTGACGCCAACTCTCAAAGAATCATAAATATAATCAAATGAGTGCTAGACAAAGTTGTGTCGGGCTGTTCGGCCAGTGACGGCGATGGCACCATGTGAAAGATGCCTCTCGATTAAATGTGGCACGGAGCACATGTCTAGTTAAGTTGAATTCTCTTCAACACAAAGTCACTCCACACGCAACAACGCCTAATCGGTCACGCATTATTCACCCTTTTGCGCGTGCCTCCGCTTGTGATGAATCAATCCAGTGGAACTGGTGAAGCACTTTCCGCATATGTCACATATGTACGGTCGCTCTCCCGAGTGCGTGCGATAGTGTTTGGAGAGGGTGCCTGATTCGGCGAATCGCTTGCCACACACGTCGCAATGATACGGTCGTTCTCCCGTGTGCGTGCGACTATGAGCGACGAGGTGGGAGCGCTGGGTGAAGGAAACCCCGCAAACGTCGCAGCTAAACGGCCGCTCGCCCGTGTGGCTGCGATTGTGAGCGATGAGACTGCGCCGCCTAGTGAAGGAAACTCCGCACACCTCGCAGCTGAATGGACGCTCTCCCGTGTGAGTGCGACTGTGAGCGACGAGATTGGAGTGCTTAGAGAAGGATACGCCGCAAATATTGCAGCTGTACGGTCGCTCTCCCGTGTGCGTGCGATTGTGAATAATGAGATGACTGGGACAGGTGAAGGAAGCTCCGCAAACTTCACACATGAACGGACGGTCCCTGGTGAGATTATGATTGGCGAGGCTACTGGACGACGTAACGGCCTTACGGGCCATGGCGCTCAGGACTGGCTCTTCGCCCTGGCCCTCGTGCAGCTGCAACTCCAAGTGCGCCAGTGCCGTCGTGTTCTCCTGCGGCCCAGGACCCCACTGTCCACTCCGCTGCTGCGTTGCCAGGTCGTTCTCCGGAGGTCGCCCTTCTGCTCCTGAACAGATATGCATTGTGTCTTAACAACATTGCTGTCGCAGTGCTACTGAGATTCATTTCTCACAGCCGTCATGCTGCTTTGATTATTCTGCAACGAAGACCGACTGACCCTAGGCGTTCGGTCTTCCTGGGGTGTTGGCTAACAAGAGCTTAGCTCTAAACGGAAACCTTGCCCGGTAGAGAGATAGGAGCGCGTATGAAGTCGCGAGATGGCAATGGATGCTGCCTCAGTGGCGCAATGGCTGGGGGAAAGTCAAAGTTGCTGGGGGTGGCGCAGAGCCAAACGAAGAGGGTTCGAGTCCCACTTGAGGTTTGGCAATTTTCACAATGTGCTATTCGCGACGCTGCATCTCACACTATCTACGTATTACATTCGCTAAACAATGTGTCGGTCACACATAACAGGCGTTCGTGGAAATGAGAGGTTTACAGAAGGTTGGTGAAATAGGCGGTAACATTGCTTACCGGCAATTGCTAATCGGCGGTTCTTACCGCATACTGGATAACAGTATGACAATATATTTAAATGTCAGCGTCGCTACTTTCCAAATCGTGACCGTGATCACCACAGCCACCATTAGTAAGTTAGGGAAATTTCCGAACAAAAAGGACAATTTTGTGAAATTTTAGGACCTCGTAGTTCTCACTAGTTTCTTAAGAAAAATAATTATTTATAAAACAATTTTGTAGAGAACTTTATGACATTTAAAACTAAATATAACCATTTTTGAATTTTAGAAATTTTAATAAAACGAAATGTATATAAATTTCGATCTCAAAATGGTTTCCTTCTTTATTCAATTATCTAATTTCTCCTAACGTTCATCCATTGCCATTTTGCCCCCTCCCTCCAATAGTTCTTCTCCAACACAACTGATTTGCTTCACTTTTGACATTTATGCTCATTCTTTTCTCTATGCCATGGAAGGGGAAAATGGTTGCCACTAATGATGTAGAAACTTTTACTTACAAAGAGTAGAAATAGATTCCAAAAAACGACAGAACATGTGAGATCATTTGTACCTGGCACATATTTATAATTTCAATTTGTTTTACTAACTTTGACAATTTGAAATGTTAGACAAATTTAACATATTTATAATAATTTCAGTTTATCTTAAATTTAGACTGAAGAAGAAGAAGAAGAAGAAGAAGAAGAAGAAGAAGAAGAAGAAGAAAAGTAGTCCTTCAGATGTAAAAACTCTGTAATTGAATAGTCTATTTCAGATATCTGTCAAACGCCAAAATCTAATAGACTTGTTGGTGAAGTAGATACCTTTTTATTGTGATAAATAAAGATATTGTCAGGTATCAATATTTTAATTCAACTTATGATCGATCGCGTAGCGATCATCTTCAGAGCTAAAATGTGAAATAGAAATATTATAAAGAGGTTGTAGTTATTGTCTACAAGATGCGTAAGCAAACTGGATCGTACATACCTTGCAGCTTCTGGGCCGAAAACAAAGTTCTGCGAATTTTTGAGCGTGTGTCTTGTTTAAGAGCACAGCCGGTCGGCAGCGTGAGGGGGCGGGAAGAGGGGTGGGGTGCGGGTGAAGGGTCCTAAAACGCGGGGGTGCTGGTGGATGCTTGAGAGACGGTCGGGCGAGCGAAGGTTAGTGGAGTGGGGAGGGCTGGGGGTGGGTTAGGGGTGTACACTTTGTGCTAATTTTAGCAGAGGTGAAGAGAGTTCAGGGATTTGTTGGTTAAGACATGTCATGTTCTGTTTTTTGAGGGCGTTGTGTATGTGTAGGGCTTCTAATTTTATTCTGTTCCAGGATCTGTTCTCAATTTCTAGAATTCGGAAATTTATGTGATTATCAAATGTGTGTTTGTTTAAATTTAGGTGATCCGCAAAGTGTGAGACTGTGGTAGTGTTATTTTTCCATCCTTTTTATTTATCAATCTAATAGACGGATTAGAGGCGGATTATTGTTCCAAGAGGATCGACACATGGTTTACTGCATATTTATATGATAAATTGTTCATGTATCAAATGGTTTTATAATTAAAAATATTTTGAAATCAGATAAATTGGGAGTAATTTTCTCAGTTTTCTCGGAATGAAGAATCTGGCGTTTAACGGGTTTCTGAAATAAACGATTCAATTAAGAGAACATTTTAATAAAATTCTTCAATCTAAATTATGGTTTCTGATTAATGTGTTTATGGTTTCAATATGTGTACTTGAAAATGTCTGTCTAAAATAAATGTGGACTAAAAACGTAAAACCCAAACCTCGATGGCAGTCTGAGGATGTTCCATTCGAAGGTAATGATAGACTTTCTGAAACCCTAAATTTCATAGAATATGTGGTCGTTTTCGATAATATCAAATTCTTTGAAAAAAGAACAAACTTGTTACGATATCAACCTTCGCAGGTCTAATCCCCTAACGGATCTAGATAGTACAACTGAAATAAGCAGTGTGGAAAGAACTCATGCCCATATGTTATAATAACTTAAAATGTTAAATGGGAAGAAATGATCTCGATAGTCTTGTAGATCGTGTAACAACAATTTCTGGTTTCATTATAAAAAGGGCTGCAAAAGAAACAGAAAATGAATCCATTTTGAAACTTCAGCAATATTGATTTGAATCGGTGAAGTGTAAAATCGGACAATAGACACTGGTGAGAAGCTGCCCTTCCAGTGTTACTCTACCCACAAGTAAGTGAATACCAAATGCACGTCAAATGGAAGGTTTGATAAGGCGAGTCACCGGCCTGATCATGAAGAGAGGCAGCAGCACAGCGAAATGCACTCTGGCGAAATGTTTGAGTGCAAAGGCTTCACAAGAAACAGATCTTAATGTGGCTAAATGCAATGTGCAGAGTTCAATCAAGCATAAATGAACAAAGGGAACAATGGAGGCGGTAGCTAGAAGAAAGGTCCTACGTTCCAAAAATGTATTTTGAGAAAAACGCACTGCAAGTTTTTGATCAGAGCATTCTACACACTGGTCTATTTCATTGCAAACTACATATTTTTTAATATATTATAATTATTTTTAAACTTAATTTCATTTAACTCTCATTAATTTCAAACACATTGCGTAAAGTAAAAATGCCTCTTAGGCCTTTATTCTGGAGAACATGTTTATATTTACTAATGAAATGGTGTAAATTATAAATATTATTACATTTAAATTTGCTTTAATTATAAACTGCTAATACAAATCATGAGGTGGTTTACCTATATTTCACAGAAGAGTACTCTTCAAAAACGTTTTGGTAAAATTTTTTGCACTCTTCCTTTAAGTACCCACATAAGTCTGGAATATCAATGACTTATGACTTATATATAGTATAAATGTTGCATAAAGAAGACATATTGTATATTTTCGCGAAGAAAATAGAATACTCAGTTATAAGAACATGTTTCAAAAGAAGTGAAGAGTACAAAAGACATAAATTAATTGTTTAAAGTAATAGAATTTAAACAATTATCATTTTTTTCATGTCTTCTTCTCAATCTTTCATTCAGTTGCTCGAATCTTCCTCTTTCTTTGGGCATTTTATGTAATTGAGCTGGCGGTAGCTTTGTTGTTTGTACACAAAACTGGAGCACAAAGCGCAACGAATGATTGTTCTTCTTTAATTTTATGTAATAGTTGTCAGACGTGAGGTTGTGTTCAACCGACACTGAAAGACGCAGTGGGGAAGAGGAAGAGGAAGAGGAAGAAGAAGAAGAAGAAGAAGATGATGATGATGATGATCCTCCTTCATCTTTTGAATAAATTCATTTTTCTCCTTCAGAATCACTTCACAAATCAACAAATTCATCAGAAGATTGCTGCAGAAGATTTGGAATTTCATCCATATTGCATATTATATATACAGTTGCACCGCAAAGTAATTTTAAGTTGCAATACAGACAAAATGTCGAAGCTGGAGAAGTTGCGAAAGAAAAAGCTGAAGGAATAAGTGCTACTTTCGAAACTTTTCTTGACCGATGACATTGCATCCCCTTTCTGGCACAATAAACAGGTGAAGGCCTGTCTCACCCGTAAGAGATGCGTACAAACCAATACAGCGTTCTTTCCACAGAGTTAAACGATGCGTAGGCAATAATATTTCTGACAAGCTGTGCACTCGCCGTCGTAAATGCTCCGAGTCTACAGCACCAACTTAATTGGATTCTACAAAATAATATACACCTGTTTGTGAAAATTTCAACACCCAGAAGGAATGGTCGGAATTACTTAAAAATCGGTGGATGTGTAGAACTGTATCCATAAGAAATGATTAAATTTGCATAGGTGGCATGCACGTTGGCCTAGCAGATACAGCATTTGTACATTGTGCTATTCCTATTCTATAGAATAAATTTCATTGTAATAGTATGTCCCCTTTTTGGTGTTGCAATTTTCACGAACACTAGTGTAGATCAGATTTGAATATTTTCTTTGTAATCTATTAGATTCAATTAGTAATGAAAATTATTTTCATTTATTGCAACAATTTAAACTTGTTTAATTTATTATGTTATTGATTTAATTTTTAAATATGGTAATATTTTAGTATAAAAGTGAATAAAAGGAAAATATTTCAGGAAATGTTGAAAGACTTTTAAAATATCAGCATTACGTAACACAAAACTATGAACCCGTTACTCATATTTAACGAGGCGTAACGCTGCCTCAAAGACTCTCACCGTCGTCGAAGTAACATAATTTACGGACAACCCCAAAAACAAATTTATGATAAACTATTAGTAATAATTAGGGAGAGGACTTTAATGAAATGTCATTTTTCTTTTTACTATAGTACAATGCCATTTACTATAAAAATTCACTTGTTATGACAAAACGAAATGGCCCATTTTTATACATAATTTTCTTACATTGTTCGCAATTTCGACTAATAAATCATTGTTTACCTTTTTAAGTCAATTTTAATGCATTTTCGCGGATTTGATCCCCCCTCCCTCTCTCCCTCCCTTAGTTACAGATTCTACAAGTCTCCGAGCAAGTGGAGTAACATCAAGCAAAAGTGTAATAGAATGTTGATACC